GTTGTAAAAACCAACAAAAAATACTTTGGTTTCTAGAAAGATTTTCCAGAAATCTTGGGAACTAAGCAAATATTTTTTATTGATTTTACGCACAGAATCAGAATGAGTGGGTAAAATAGACTAATTGCTGACATTCTAAAGTAGGTTGGATAGATTTTGACTGAGTTATGCTATTTTTAGTTTTTGATGAAAATAGTGAAAAATGGGTTGTTTCACCTAGTATAGATTTTCACTCGGTTATTGAATTTTGTTCTGAAAACTAACATTGCCACGATATTCAGCATAGTCGATAACCTATGTTTTCATTCATTTTCGATAGTTCTAAACCTAACGGCATAGGAGTGCTAAAGCTTCAGGAAAAACGTCCACAGCTCCCGAATCATGAATTTCTAAGATGTCGCTTTGATCTAGTTTTGTAGAGGACACTTCGGACTATATGTCAGTAAAAAAGTTTAATTTTAGCTTCAATATTTATTCTGACAGTTGCAAAGCCCTTAGGAGATTTATAGAAAACTCCTAGAAAAGCTTAAGTTATTGAGATATAATCGTTTTTTTATAGGAAAGTTAATAGGAGTTTAATAGGAGTTTCTTTTTCTCTTATTGGAAATCCTCTCGTTAGTGCCACAAAATGAGTATGTTTTTCAGAAAACTCTGTCATTTCTCCTGTCAGATAATTAATCGTCACGTATATACTATAGTGCTTGATATGATGAAAGCGATAGCAGAATGTATGATGAGATAATGAATCAGCTGATACGATAATGTGAGTAATATACTGTAGAACATAAATGTAGCTGAAAACATATGTAGCAGATTACCAAGTGTTACATCTACTGTACTGCCATAGCTAGAAGCTAGCTGGTTCCATTCGCGTTTCACTCAGTTGGGTTCCAATCTTCGCGAAGCGCAGTTGGCACCTAGTTAAGATTCTTATTCTCTTTTTAATACTTACAATAGAATTTTCTCTTTTAGCGTATCTTTATCTTTTCTTGATGTCTCGCATATGTCAGACATATATGTTATGGAAGATACGCTGAAAGAGAAAAGTTAAATTTCGTTTCTGTCTTACTTGCTTCTCACAAGCGTTCACTCAGTCGGCTTGTCAAAACCAGCAACATCGACACACATGTAGCAACAAAGATCCGCAGGAAACTTTCGTGAACTGAATGCAGTTTGATCAAAATATGTCGTGGCGAGTTCAAAGACTTGTTTCTAATTGAAAACTCTGCTGAGTACATGAAATTACTTTTTGGATTTGTTGTGTCTATTGTAGTCGAGCAAAACATCAAAAATAAAGTGTCTTTAGCTATGTCCACCACTTCGAATCACACAAATTAAGAACAAAAATTCAAGTTGTAAAATGTACGAGCGATTTTTAGAGAATGGAACATAGACATATATCAGACAGTAGAACGGGAATTTTTTTACATAATAATGATTGAGAAACTGGAAAGAGAAACGAGATATACATGGAAATATTGATAGAAATGACCAAATATAAATACTCGAGATAGCATAGAAACAATTGAATTTTGTTAGTCTTTTAAGTAAATACTTCACAATTGACTATTGCATCAGTTAGCCTATTTTCGATATTTTAATCCGACGGTCATGCTACAAAGCTAATACGTGACAACCATGGATGAATAAAAAATTTTCTCAGTTATTTACTTGGCTGTTTTTTGCCTATTGTGTGTTCTTCTAAATGACAATAATATCTTTAGGAAAAGTTTTTGAATGAACGTGTTTCTATCATTTCGTTTCTGTTTAATAGAAAAAATTCATTGTCAGTTTTTTAGTATCGATAGAAGCAGATTTTTATGAAAAATTGAGTTTTCTTCAACTGTAACCTGTATCTCAAATTTATGAAAGCTTTTTTTTTGTTTATTTCAGGAATACTAATAGTGAACAACAAACATCATCATCTTCAAATCGACATGTTTCCCTAGCTAATATAGCATCAGCATTTATAACCGAACGAAAATCATCATCTCGTCGTCAGAGCGGTCGTCGTAAAAAACGTTTAACTGTCAAAAGTCGACGACAATCAAATCATTTAGAACGTTGTGATGGATCGATTGGATCAGCTGAAGCTGCTGTACCATTTGGAACAACATCCACTATTTGCACAACAATACCGACTGTACATTGTGCTCGGGTAAGACGAATAAATTGATTTATCATAAAGTGAGAAGTATTTCGACAATAAAATACTTGTGTAACTTTATTGTAAATGACAACAATTATATTATGAAAATAGAAAATCAAGTGCTTTTTTTTGTTTCCTGAAGAATATAGACTATATGTGTGACAAAAAAGAAAAAGTTTATTCGAAAGAATGAACATCAGAATATTGTTAATCAAAGTGTTGAGCAATTAATGTCAAAAATAGATAGAGAGAAGAAGAAATGATAGAGAAAAAGAAGAAAATATTTTATGTTTAATCGAATTTTTTGCTCTTATTCTCTCTCTATCATATAGAGAAATTATAAACGATATAGACTATGTTTTCTCTTATAAAGATATATTTGTGTTTAAAAATAAAAAATAAAAAGAACTAAGTATCTAAAGGATTAGTTGTAGGTAGAGATCAAAATATTTTTGAAATGATAATAATTAGATAATAATAGTGTATCGAAAAAAAAAAAGTGGTAAGAATTTATTTTTTTAAATATAAAAAGAGCATATCGCTCTGTACGCTTAGAAAATTAATAACAATAAAACAGCCAAATTTATCCTTATTTTTCCCATATGAAAGTATACTGAAAACGAATTAGACGTTAAGCCACAAATATTAGTCGTACAATGAAACCATCGATAATGTCAACTTCCTCATCCACTACTTCATCAACAATAAACAAGGGATCACATACAACTTTATGTAATCAACCGATAATTCATCAATTACCAACATCTACACGTTCATCTTCAATATCTACTGTTCGATTTCAATTAGATAAAACAGTAAATCAACATCATCGTCAAGAACTCCAAATACCAAATTTTCCATTTGATCAAATGTGTCCATCTTCATCATCATTGCAAAATAAAAAGGATCGTGCCAGATTTAGTAGTGTGTCGGCGAGTTATTCTCAATTTTTAAAATCAAGAGATATTGATAAAGTTAAGAAAATCGTAAGTTTATAGAGTACTCACAGGAAATGGAACTAATATGCTGACTGTTATTAATACGAATTGAATATTACACGCAAATAGTTAGAAAATTGTTGAAGTTTTTCTTGATGGTCTCATTTCATCATCTAGAGAAATATATCAAACAAATTTAAAAAGACGTATTCTTTCTTGTCTGTCACATGATTCAATTCTGTAAGAAGAAGAGAAAAATGTTTTCATTTTTTCAACATCTTTGTCCTGGTTTGTGTCCGTCTAAACCGTATGACAAATAAATTAAACTCAAATGTAAACCATTTATGATTAAATCCACTCTTCTTCCTCTTCAAAAAGTAGAAAAATATCATGTTTATTTATTTTCTTACTCATTTTTACACAAGCAAATATAAATTCGAGTTAGAAGAAAAAATGTTTTGTGTCTGTATAACGATGTTTTCCGAAAGCTCTATTCAAAATCTTGTCGGAGTTTTGCGTTTTGTTTCAAATCGACTTTTTTTTATGGATTAGTTTTATCTTCAAACTTATAATCCTATCCAAAAATTTATCTACTTGAGCTCATCATTCATTCTTAAAAGTCTACCTCAGATGTAAATTTGTCTTTTTGAAAAATATGATTGAAAAATTTTTTAAAAGCCAGAAATTTTAAAATTGAAAATTTCAATTGAGAAACAATATTTTCCAAAAAAAAGAAAAACAATATATCTAATAGGGTTGTTGATGGAGGATTCTAAAATTGAGAGAGTAATTGCAAAACGAAAACTTTGGTTCATAATCTTAACTTTTGATAATCAATATTAAATGATACGAATCTCTTTTCTTTTGAACGAAATGTTTTAAAGTGTTATTACAGTTGTAACTCGATAACAAAACGAAGTTAGTTAAGAATCGTAATAGAAATCTCATGATTATTTTCTAAATACCGTAACTACTAGTTTTTTTGAATGATTGACAATCTGTTGACGTAGATCATGTCGTTGCGTGATATACACAAATGGCATGTAAAGTTCGGTCTCGGTTTATGAATTATACCGAGTGAATAAATTAATGGAAGATAAAATTCATTTTGCCGTTATAGTTGTGATATGATAATATTTTGATTTTGTTTTAGCTTTCTCAAGAGGATCAACGTCTATTATTATCAAGTGAATTTTTTGAAGATGCTAAAGATAGTGATCCATATGTATCAGTTATTGCCCGTTTAGGTATGAGAATTATGAGAGTAAGTGTAATTATTAACTTTTACATTTTTCTATATAAATTTTTAGGTGAGGCTATTCAAGATTCAGAGACATTAACCGAATTTGTCAAAAAATCATTTTCAATTGTAACAAATACGTGTAAGTGCTGTCACAAAATACTGTATTTTCTCAACGGATCAGTATGAACAAAAAAATGTCATCTTCTTGAAGAAAAAGTAGGATTTATAAGACTTCATGTTATAAAAGAAGAAAAACAGGAAGAGAGAAATCGAGATAAATTAGCCAAATAATGTGAGATATAAAACGGAAATTTTGTGCACATTTCTTTCTTCTGAACTAAACAACTGTTCGTTTGATGTGCTTGACGAATAATTCACACAACTAAGCATATGATTATTATTTGATATAAAATACAGTTCCTTCATCTATATAGAATTTAAATTAAGCTGTATGATAAATAGATATATCTCGAGGGATTTATAATAGTAAATGTTTCTTAGAGTTTGATCTTATAGTTTAATCGAACCCCTTAGGTCCAATAGACTCGTTATTCGCATACAATTTTATTATATGGGAGAAAAAAATGTTCGATTAAGATAAATTTCATACACATTCTGGATCACTATACATGAAATGCCAAAAGAAATCACAATTGAACAAGAATGTGCATGTTTTTTTTTCTCGTTTATCTTTTGAGAAGAATTATAATGACTTTTTGCGCATAAATTGACAACGCGTTTAGATCATTCACACACATACAGATATTTAAGTTACACTGAGAAAAAGAAAGGAAAAAGAATGCGTTTAGAATATTTTCCTTTTGTTTGTCTCTTGATTAGTCTTGTTTCCTGTGAACTGTGTGTATGAAACAATGAAAATTATATTATATAATGAAAAAAAAAAAGAGACATTGCGTTCAAAAATTGACGAAATAGAAAATAAATAAATGATAATAACTTTAAACGGATGTACACATCAAACATAGAAAACCTATTAGAGAAAAAAAAACATTCATGTCACTCCACCAAGAAACAGCCTAGATTTGAAAATATCTTACCTATAACTAACACGTTCTTTTCAATCTGT